AAAGCGTTTTGCGTAACTTTTATTAAATGTTTTAAAAGATCAGTTTTAAAGTAATTTTTTTCAAATGCAATTAAAAACGTAACAAAAAGTAATTTCTACTTCGAGTTTTTTACGAATGTTGTGATGGAATGTTGCGATATTTAAATACATTTAAAACAGCAATGATTGCCAGTTTTCATTAGAAGAATTGAAAATATTTGCAAAAATCCACATTTAGATTACAGAACAATTAATAAAATCACTGAAAAATCGGGAAAATTAACGTTTATTCGTTTTTTGAACAGTCATAGCGATATTCTTACCCAAGCTTGATATGAGAAGAAAAGCCAAAATAAAGAATGTATGAGTCAGCAGCAGTTCTTCACCGTCCGCCTTTTATCTTACCACCACAAACGTTTATTCAATACATTGCGGACAATGCTGATATAAGTGTAAATAATTTAGACATAACTCGCTTTATATAATGGGTATCATTCAAGCGAAGTTATTACCGCATTATTCACATAATGGGTATCAATCAAATTGTTACCCCAAAAGGTTCAGTTTCACAGGAGGATCATATACCACGAATAAAGGAAATCCCTTCTGCAAATGATTTTGCAGCAAAAGCACATGTGCCAATTCAAATCTATCAAAATGATGGTGTAGTTGGTTATAGTAAAATAAATGTGCAAAATTTAGCTTATGAAAGTGAAGCACCAATATCTTTAATCCAAAAAGTCGAAGCAATATGGTTCTATGGTAAATGCAAGAATTAATCGTTACCTTGTTGGAATGGTTATATCGAATGTTTAACAAGTAGTATTCAGAACTTTTTTAAGTCTAAAATTTTATTCTTACCGTTTATTCACCAACCAGCAAGTAACTACAGTACAATATACACGAATTTACTTTGTGCTTTAGAAAATGCAAAATATTACGGCCACAAAGTATGCATTATTACATTCGATCAACCTCTGTATGCAAAAGCTTGAGAAATTGTATCTGCAGCACCTAATGGATCTGAATTATCAAAGATCATAATAAGACTATCAAAGATCATAATAAGACATTTTATTTACTAATGTCATTTTTTTGATCAATTGGTTATATTATGCAAGGAAGTGGCATACAAGAGGCACTTTTATTGATTTATGCACCTAAGTTGTTAGAAAAAATGCTCAATGGCCACGCTTACGTTAGAGCTGTTAGAGCCCATACATTACTTCAGCTCACTTTAGCTATAATAATTTCAAAAAATCTTGCTATTGATGAGATGTTAGCAAATCTTGATATTACCATTAAGGATGTCATAAATAACAAAGTTTCATATAGTGATATTGAAAGTGGCGTTGATAATGAAATGTTTGATGCATTACTTCATAAGTTCAATGAAAAACTAAAAGAATTTGAAAAACAAAGATCTACATCAAAACTATGGATACAATATCTTAATATGGTGTCGATTGCAAAGGAGTTTATCAGAGCTGAACGCATGGGAAATTGGCAAGGTTATTTGAACAGCATTAAAGAAATGTTTCCTTATTTCCACGCATCGTGACATTTTTCTTATGCTAAGTCTGTGCACTTATATCTACAGGATATGCTACAATTAGAGAAGTTAATGAATCAAAGTGTTTATCAACGGTTTATCGAAGGATTTTTTACTGTTAGACATTTCTGATAAATTTAATTGTGGTACTTTAATGGATATGGTAATTGAGCAATCAATGATGAAATCAATGAAGACATATGGAGGTATTTCTCAAGGAAAAAGTACAAAAGAAAGTAAATTCTCAAGGAAAAAGTACAAAAGAAAGTATAAGTAAATGGGTTTATGGTATGCATGCAATGAACACTGTATGTGAAGGATTAGAAGATCTTGCTGATATTAGAAGTATACAACAGATCAGCATGTAGATGCAAGTGATTCATAAATAAAGAAAGATGATAAAGGTATTGAAAAACTTCAGCAGTGGTTTTTATCACATGATCCTTTTCCTAAAATGAAAGAAATCATTTCAATTGCTAGTAAAATGGTTAGTGATAATAAAATCAACTGTCATAAAGTTCGTGAAGTTGGGATTGCTTCTATGTCTAAAATGATAGGTGAAACATTTAATATCAAATTAAAACGCGCTGATAAAGTTCTTCCTCTTCTAACCATGAGTAGCACCATAAAAGTTTTGGTGCTACTCATGGTGCTACTCAAGTTTTATTCTGATATATATACTATATATATATATATATATATATATATATATATATATATATATATATATATATATATATATATATATATATATATATATATATATATGTATGTATGTATGTATGTATGTATATATATATATATATATATATGTATGTATGTATGTATGTATGTATATATATGTGTATATATATATATATATATATATATATATATATATGTATGTATGTATGTATATATATATATATATATATATATATGTATGTATGTATGTATGTATGTATATATATGTATATATATATATATATATATATATATATATATATATATATATATATATATATATATATATATTAGTACTGATTATAAGAAAAATATTAAAGCTGCAGAACAGCGTCGTCAAACCACAAAAATATCTTCTTCATCTGATGTCATTTTTAATCAATTTATGACAGTTCCTACAAACCAACAACAATTCCTTTCCAATACTCATAACAAGCCTCACTTCATTTTTATGTTATGCCAAAGATTTATAGCTGCAAATATTATAGCAGGTAACGCTGTTATTATAGCAGATAATGCTGATGTCCTTATAATTGAAACAGCCATAGAACAATCCAATGCAACAAATACTTCTGTTGTTGTTGCTCAAGATGTTGACTTATTATTATTACTAACTGCACGGACTCTAATCGATAAGACTATTTACTTTTTAAAACCCAGTAAAGCCATCAAGCAACAGATATATATTCATCAAAAAGTTTATCTGCTTATCAAAACCATATTTTATTTTTACATGCAATTACTGGCTGCAATACTATATCAGCATTTTTCAGAAAAACAACTGCATTTAAATTATTTGAATAAGGTGGTTTAACTTATTGCGCTAAATAATTAAATTATTTGAAAAACGTGAATTAACTAATAGACTCTTCACCACAAGACATTGTTACAAACGGGATTTATTTTCTTCTTGCTTTATATGGAGCTTCAAATAAAATTGATTGTTTAGACAAGTATAGATACCTAACTTTTGTAAAAAAACACCCGAAATAATAAAAGAGTGCCTCTTGTCTTCCTCCAATATCTGCTTCTTCTAGCCAATACTTGTATCGAGTATATTATGTCCCAAAGGCATGTACCAATTTTCAGCTCTGCGAATTATTGTAAATTGAAATGCTTATTTTGACCGGTTTACCAGGTATACCGGTATGAAATGAGCGTTTTTTGTGAAAATAAAACACTAATTATTAATGGGAAAGTATAAAACATTTTATTCAAAGTATTGGCCATTGTTTTCTACACATTTTGACCACCTTTCTGGCAATTTGTGGATACCATGCCAATAAAATTGTTCGTTTTTTAAAGCAAACCAACCAGACACCCAATTTTCAACCTCCTCGTAGGAATCAAAGTGCTGCTCAGCCAATGCGTGTCCCATCGGTGAAAACAAATGGTAGTCGGAAGGAGCCAAGTCTGGTGAATACGGCGGGTGGGGTAGCAGCTCCCAGCCAAGTGTTTTGATTGTATCCTGAACCAGTTTTGCTTTGTGTGCAGGTGCATTGTCATGGAGCAAAATTACCTTGCCGTGTCTTCTGGCCCATTCTGGTTGTTTCTCGATCAATGCATGGTTCAAATTGATCATTTGTTGTCGGTAGCAATCAGTATTGACGGTTTCACCAGGTTTTAGGAGCTCGTGGAACACCACACCTTTCTGGTCCCACCAAACACACAGCATTGTCTTCTTGCCGAATCGATCTGGTTTTGCAGTCGATGTTGATGGTTGTCCCGGATTAACCCATGATTTTTTCCGTTTAGGATTCTTAAAATAAATCCATTTTTCATCGCCAGTAACAATCCGATGCAAAACCGATTTTCTTTCGTGTCTTCGAAGCAAAATTTCACAAGTGTTTTTTCGGTTTTCCATCTGTCTTTCATTCAATTCATGTGGCACCCATTTTCCACACTTTTGGATCTTTCCCATAGCTTCTAAACGGTCAGAAATTGTTTGTTGTGCAACATTTAACATTTCTGCCATTTGCTTTTGACTCAAAGTGTCATCTCCATCCAATATCGTTTGCAGTTCGGCGTCTTCAAACTTTTTTGGTGGTTTTCCACGTTCTTCATTTCTCACATCAAAATCATTATTTCTGAACCGTTGAAACCATCTTTTGCATGTTGCTTCTGATAGAGCATGATCACCATATGCCTCGATAAGCATTCGATGCAACTCTGCAGCACTTTTCTTCAAATGAAAACAAAAAATTAATGCTTTCCGCAAATCATCACTTTCCGGTACAAAATTCGACATTTTTAAAACGATGAAAAAATATGATGTTGTCTGTTCAATGACTTGATGTATACTAAATATGTTTCACAGATGTCATAGCAAACAAACAAAAAAAAATAAAGGCTCGTTCACAACAAATGTTCCCTATCGAGACATTTGTATCTTGACGCTCACTTCATACCGGTATACCTGGTATGTCTGATTACTTTGTAAATTGAGCGGATAATCTCAGGTTTTAGTCGGACAATGTCGATGTCCGACCGTTAAAATGAGCCCTGCAGGTTGCAGTTGAAAAATTTATACAACTATTGTGTTAGCTGTCAGAGATATTGGCTGGCGCTTTATCTCAACAGCATTTGAATTATTATTATTATTATTCCTGACTGAACATCTAAACAAAAATTAAAACAAAAAAATCATTTTAACTTTACATAAATAGTTAGCACTTACAGGCAATCACTATTTAAAATTTATTTTTTTATTTATTGTATTTTTAAATTTAGTTAATTTTATTCTAAGGTGGTTAAAGCTTTACAATACTTGAAACAAGTCCACGGTGTTATGCACAGAGATGTTAAACCATCAAATATTCTATTAGATGATAAAGGTAATGTAAAACTTTGTGATTTTGGAATCAGTGGACGCTTAGTTGATTCAAAAGCTAAAACTAAAGGTGCTGGATGTGCTGCTTATATGGCGGTAAATAATTTTATATTAAATTTAACTAGTTTTAGAATTTTCCTTTATTATACTGAATTTTAATCTATAGCTTAATTAGATTAAATCAATGAATTAATATCCTAATGTTTTTTAAAAAGACATGTTGCCTCCTGATTATTTTCATTGATTTTTTTTTTTTTTTTTTTCTCTTGTAGCTTTATTGTGTTAAACTACGTCATTATTTTTATGTTTGCTTTTTAGCCTGAACGAGTTGAACCACCTGACCCACTAAATCCAGATTATGATGTGCGAGCAGACGTTTGGTCACTTGGAATTTCATTGGTAATTCAATTATTGCTAATAATCCTAAATTATTTTGAAAAAAAACTGTTTTGAAAAAGGTTTTTTTATTCATGAAAAAATGAAACTTGGATGTTCTAAAAAATTCATGTTTTCAAAAAGTATTTTACTATTCATTTTCTCTTGCAAATCTATTTAAATGTTTTTTTGATTTTTTTTTAATTTATATATTTTATAGTTTTAAACTGATAAATTGGCTAAACGAGTAAAAACGAGCTCGTAAATATTAGGCGGTCATCTTTCTAGTGGTTGTACTGTAATTAAAGTTCATATTCCTGAAACGCAATAAATATCATTTAAGTTTCAGAAATCTCTAAAAATTATAATTTAGTTTTCATAAATTATTTTATGATTAAGTTTTTATAAATTAAAAAAATACTCGACGAAAAATAGAGATATTATTCAAAACATCGTACTATAAATTTCAATTACTGTTATCTCCAAGGTTGAACTAGCTACTGGATTTTTCCCATATCGTGGATGTCGCAATGAATTTGAAGTGCTTATGAAAATAATGCATGATCCATCGCCTTCTCTTCCTAAGGATGGCTTTTCTGAAGAATTTCAGTCGTTTATTAATTTGTGTCTTGAAAAAGATCTGAAAAAGCGTCCAAAGTTTGATTTATTACTTGTAAGGCTCTAAAAAAATATATTTTATTATAACCGTTATTGTTGAGTTTTGTTCTAACCCTTGTGATTAATTGTAACTGTTGAAAGTTGTTTTAATCGTTTTTTGTTTTTGTTTTTATCTTGTTGCAACCTTTTAACTTTATAAGGTAACAAAAATTGTATGATGAAACTGATACTAAATATGTTGATTTGCAGGAGCACCCATTTCTAGTTCGCTACGAAAAAGAAGTTGTAGATGTGGCTGGATGGTATTCGAACATCAATTCTTATGTTTAAGATTCAATTGTTTTGGAATTTTACACGGATAAAAATAAATAAGTTTTAAATATGTAACTGATATTTGTGTCGATATTTTGAATTAAGCATCATTTATATTTAAAAGTGTTTTAATAGATTGCATTTTATATCTTATAAACATTAATTTGTATACCTATTTAAGAATACATTTTCTGACTTACATATAGTATTCGTTGCATTACTGTTAACTATAAATATTACAACAATTAAGCAGAAAAAGACAACCATCTATCATTTACGCTATAAAGATTTTTTATTTTAAGATTGTTAAAGTATATTGTATATTATTTGTCATCCTTCTTTTTCGAATTAAAGGCTTTTCTTCATTAATTACGTTAAATTCGACAAAAGACTTATTAGTGATTGTATTCCAGGAGCCAGACGCAGTTTTTTTACCCCATTTTTATTAGTAGGTTTGACACCTTAGATGTAACAATAAAAGTTACACTCACTAAGAAATGTTTTTCAGCTTTCTATAACGGGGGCGTTTGGTGTCCAGGAGCCCGAAGTATCATAGCTAAAACACCCTCCTCAAAGCTGTAAATTGGCCATTAATTTACCCCCAAATTATCAGAAACCAGAAATTTTATACTATAGTGGTTCTTAAATAACCCAAATCTAATATGAATTTCCAGGGCACAAATGAAGTTAAGCGCCTTGACTATTGACGCTATTTAGTTAAAGCTATTCCATAAGTATAAAACGTATGTGGTTCAAATAACACACAAATCTAAATTTTACATCATGTTAATATTTCACAAAAGTTGCGTTATAAAGTAATTAGCAATTGCAGTTTATTATTAGTTAAATTTATTGCAGCATTGAAATCTGCTCGGTCTGTTACAGACTGTCTGTACTCAATTATATACAATGTATTTAAATAAATAGCAATCTAATTCATTAATATAGTATACTTTGTAAAACAAAGAAATCTTATGGGTGATGGATGGTTATTTATCACCAGAATCTACACCAATGTTAATTTTCATTGGTTATAAGAACAACATCACTTTAGAAATTAATTACTAAAACAAGAGTAGGGAAAATGATATTTTGTGCCGATATGGCGCAGTGGTTAGAGTCCTGGCTCAGAACCAAAAGGTCGAAAGTTCAAGCCCAATTAGCCAATTAGGCAACATTGGTAAGGAAGGAGGCGTGAACTTCCTAGTTAAATGCTTTTCCATAGTGGTCAGCGATAAGACCGCAAGGGTTTTTGGGGGCGTCTTGAGAACCACTCAACCAAACAAAAAAAAATTCTAGTTAAAGGCTCTTCCGCGATGTTCTGTGATAAGACCATAAGAACTTCTAGGAGCGTTTTAAAAACCACTCAAGAAAATGTTAGAATTAAAATATGTTTCCAAAAAAATTGATATGCTAAAAATTTGGTTTCTTCCTCAAATAAATCAGCCACCAACTTCAGTATCAGTTGTTGCTAAAACTCTAACCCGAGCTCAGCGCACTGCAAAGAAATGCAAGAAAAGTCCGATCTCTGTTACCTATAACTTTGCAATTGCAAAAATTACAATGCAGCTTTAAGTTGAAGAATCTCTATGTTTGGCAATGTCTTTATTGCTTTAGACGCATTTCTTATCGAAATGGCGTCATTTTTTGCATTTGCAAACTATATTGCTGAATCTTTCGGTCCACATATTTAAAATGAATGTGGTGTTGTTAAAAAAATTTTACTATTGTCATTTCTTTCAAGAGAAAGTTACTAAACAAGCAAACGTTGTGCATAAGTTGCTTGTGTCGGCAATGGAAATTTACCTTTTTTATATTATATCTTCAAACATTAGATAACGCAAATTGATAAAGTTCAAGTTTACCCTAATTTACTACATCAAAAAGAAAGGAAAACTAAAAAGCATTAAATGATATTGATAAATTTATTAATAATTATCAGAACTATGCATGTGATACAGATGTGATACAAAAGTAAACATGGGTTAACAGCATTCATTACGCTATATAAAGATTTTACAATTTTTTTGTTAGAAGCATTGACACTTAGGATTTGGAACTGTATATTTATTGTTTTCAATAGTTAGCAATTATTTTTTGCATTCAATCACCATTATTATACCCGTTGGTTAGTTTCAAAAAAAGACAACAAGTAAGCATGATGGACCTGTTTGGGACCTGTTTGGCAATATCTTATTTCTCTCACTTGAAAGAAAAGTTGATAAAGCAGAAGAGTTAAAATATCCTTCAACACCCGTTCCTGTCTCATTATGTCATAGAATAGTGATTAAAACCCTAATTGTTGAATTGCTATACGAGCTCAAATCATGCTCAAAGAGTAACAAAATTCACTTTGTGTTAGATAAGGCTGTTTCGCTTTCTATTTAGTACTGTGATTTAGATAGCAGTAAAAATTTTTCTCATTATCGTTTAATTTTGTCTTTTACCTCTTAAAAATTTAATTTTTAGTGTTGGATCTAATATATTTATAATACTAATTGAACTTGCAATATTGAGACTTTATTAAGATATGTCGCCATCTAGATATTCAGTTTTGTAGCTGTCAATTATACTAGGGGTATATTGTTAGCTACATATCGTAGCATTGAAGCTAGCTAAAAACCAGCAATATGTATATACATATCGCTGGTTCTTAGCTAGCGATGTTGCTACGATATATCAATAGCTATATATCATCGCTTTGACGTTATCTACTGTTGTCGCTTTTTCGCTAACCACAAATTTAGCTATTATGTGGCTAGAACTACCTATCGCTATAGCTATTTGTATATATAAACTGCAAGTTTTTAGTTAGCAATTTTAAAACAATATGTTGGTATCTACATATCGTGGCTAAAACATAATTGTAAATAACACTAGTTGAAAAAAAACTGTGGTAAGTGTGCATATCACGGCTTTTTAGATAGCGCTGTTATTATTATTATTATATTATTGTGGCTAACTACACTATAACGACAAGCCTGTATCTATTCAATAGCTGTATACTGTAGCTTTGTAGCTAAACATGGTTGTTTTAAATAAAAAAACAAAAATAATAAAAATTAAAAAAATAATTTAACCTACTAGCAAAAAATGATAAAAGTTTGGGTGATATAAGTAGAACTCTAGGGTTTATTTACAACAACGAGTATTTTGTGAAATTAGTTTACAAAGCTGTCTTTAACTATAGTAAGGGAGAGTTGCCGAAATTAGAAGAGCGCCTTAATTGGAATACTAGCATTTATTTTTGAAAAAAATAAATTATGGTTATACTTTGCATTTTTTTAGTAAAGCGCATTATTTTCTACGTTTTGACACATTTTGAAAGTTATTCCTCAAAAAATGCGTTTGCACTATTGATTTAAAGTTTTTTTGCGTCATTTTTTTTCAGCGATCTAATTTTGTGTTCACACTATATTGATTGCGCTGGGTAAACTATGGTACTACAGGTTATAACGTTTTTTGTGTTTAACTTGATGGAATTTAAAATGCAAAATAACAAAATAAAATTATCTTAAAAGTTGCTGCAAGCATGTTATTGTAGTGATATAATAAAATAGTCGAAAGTTTCCTTGATTAGTACATGAAGTTTTCCTTACCTAATCAGTAATAAAATCAAAGGGTTGTAAAAGTAGTTTGAGTACAAAAAAAAAATACTTAGTAACAACCATAAACCTTAAAAATAATACTATATTTAGTGATTTTTAATCTTAATTTTAATTTTAAAATAAGTTTAGTGAACGTCATAACTGTTGAAGATTTAAACAATTTTGTTTTTAGACTTTAAATTTATCAGGGTAATACTAATCCTATAATAAGTTTTGAATTAGCTGTTTAATTTTTTACTGTAAAGATGAAAATCATTTTTTACAAATTTTTGTTGATTTTACTGGATTTTTCTTTTAAAAAAATAACCTGTTCTGATGAAGGAATCAAAGTGTTCCAATTTAGGGAAACAGTTGCCTTGATTGGAACAAAAGGGTAACCGCCTTTGGTAAAAAGCAAAATTTTGCATTAAAAGTTACTAAAACACTTGCAATAGCCTGTTAAAATATCACTTTTTTAAAAAAATATGATAAATTACATACACTTTGCAGGCATAAAAAATAGCGTAAACAGTTAAGATAAATTATAAAACTTTTTACTATGAGGAATTTATATATATTTATAATTACCAAAAAAAATGTAACGACATACTCTATCTTATGACATAATTTTAGTCTTTGAGTGTGATGCATTTTTAGGTTAAAAGGTGACCTAAAAATAGCGTAAGCTATGTTATATTGGAAAAAAATAAAAATAAAATAAAACAATGCTGAAAGAAGAAGTGTATATACGCATTAAAAAACACAAGTACATTATTTTCATTATTTCTGATTAAAATAACTCATAAAACCGTTATAATCATTATTATCAAGATTGTACTCACAAGCCTTTCTACCTTTAACTGATGGAGCACAAATTTGACATTTTACTTTGTCAAATAGATAAAAACTGACATGATTATGCATCATTAGTTCTTTTTAAATTTATTTGCATGAACTTCTCATTAACATCTTGGTTTTCATTACAAATCTCAAGCACAAATCCTATGTACCATTTTTCCTCATTGTAAAAGCATGAAATGTATTTACCGAGTTTAAAGTTTAAACGGTCTTTTTGTACCAAGTTGACATTATTCAGCAAACGGGTATATTAAAAATATACCCGTTTTAATCTCTGTAAAAAATTTCTCTCTACCTGGTACAAAACTGCCATTCTTGGGACAATGCTCATATCTTCATATATTGTTTATGGAGGTTAAAATAAGTTTTATGATTATTAATATCATCACTTGATCTTATAGGTTAAGGTGGTACTCGGGTAAAGTCGACTTTTTTAACAAAAAATAAAAAATATCATTAGACTCTAGCTCTTTTTTATTATTGAACAAATGCTCATAATTAGTATTATTTTACTCCTGAAACTAACTATTCTTTTATCTAATATAACTGATTCAAAAAAGTGTCAAAACTGTTTAAAAATTTGAACATAAATTCTTTCATGTATTTACAGCGCCGTGCGGTGGTATTTTGGCGCCTGGAGCAGGCATACTTATAAGGCATCTTTTATGGGTAGATTAATTTTTTAGGTGACCAACATATTCAAATTTTCTTAAAGTAGAATACAAGTAGCATTCAATTAACGCGGTTACATTTG